ACACTCGGCCTTCCTGCGGAGGAGGTACAGAGCTCGCCACCCCCCCGGCACCCCCAGAGACCCACCGCCTCTCTTTCGACTTCTCTCTGGGTTGATCCCACCTTGTTTAAGAAGGTGGAGTCTCTTTAGCATCATACTGGTGAGTGAGCAGAGACGTCCGCTGTTGGGAGGAGAGAGGTGTCCGTGCCGAAGGACCGGGATTGTTCCTCAGTTGGGCATTTCATATCCATATACGGAGTATATACCTGTATCCAGATCTATTTATTACTAGATGCTTTTTGGCACCATTTGTCTTCATGCTCTTTGTTGCAATTTAATGGGTACGTAAAACTATGATGCGTTTTATGCAAAAATACCCTAGTTTTGAACTGGAATCATCCATGTCCTTTCAAAAAGGGAAGAAAACAGCATGGAGCATTTTTTTTAAACCCCGTAAAGCTCTTTCTGGAGATGTTGGTCTGTCCTGCCCCCCCCTGCTATGGGAAAGAGCTGCCTTGTTTCCCTGCTACTGCACAGGCAAGGCCAAAAACAGACGGGGCTAAATCCTGGAGCAAGACTGTTGCCCTCGTGTGCACTGTGACGCCAGAAAGTTTGGAAGAGTCTGCAGGGAGCCTTGGACTGTGCTGGCAGCTAGTGTTCAGTGAAACTCTCACCTTTCTCATTTTGTACTAGCTCTTGTGATACTAGGAGTTCTTGCATTTTTCTACATTAATCAATGTGATACCTTTTCCACGTTTTGTAGAGCAGGAACAGAAGCTGTTACTCTTCACACTGCAATATCTGTGACTGGGGACAAGAGTATTTTTATGGAACTTTATTAAGAAAGTATATTTTTTAAAGAAATGAATGAACATGCTGTGGATTTGCAGGCGGGTGGGAGGGAGATGCTGGACCCTGGATGTGTGGCTGGGACTCTGCCTGGGCGGTGGGAAGTGCATGGGTTTCCTGTTTCGTTATTTCTGGGCCGTTCTGTTCCTTCGTCAGTTTGTTTCTCTGTAAGCGGGTGATGTTGCAGGAGAGGCCAGGTCAAAGCAGGCAGAGCTTGTTGGCTGGAGGAGCAGCTCTGAAACCCAGCTAGCCCATAGGGTCCCTTTTGGGAACAGAACCGTACAGTACAGTACGAGCAGTGTGCCGAGTGGCTCACAGGGCTGCCTTGTTTGGGTCCCATTTGTTTTTTCCAAGAGCTCATCTGCTGACTGCAGTTTCTGGGCTGTTAACCCTCTCTGGTGCGCGTGGCCAGGCGCCGCGTGTTCTTGCCAGGTGTGATGGCTACAGCAGCTCTCGCTCAGCTGGCTTTTAGCAGTGCTCTGTGCTGTAAATGCAGGCCTAATGTTGATGGATAGGTTTACTTCCTCTGCCTGAAGTTTGATCTCTCAAACACTCGTGATTAAACGATGAGCTATGATGTTTGAGCGTGGAACCGGGAGCAGGGGGTCCGGCCTGCGGTGCTGGCCTTGTGAAAACTCTGCCCGGAATTGCCCAGGTTTGATTTTCTTCCATCGGGGACAGCTGGGAACCCACGGAAACCTACAGCACTCCTGTAACTCCTTGGCAAAAGAGATCTAGCACCCGAAGAAGAATTTCACTGTGAGACTTTGTATGCCAGATTCCTAACACAGCAGTGTTAACATCTCTGTAGGCAGAGCTGCTCCATGTTGGAAGCAGGTGCCTGGTGCTGGATGTGGCTGTGGGCAGGACCGAAATAGGTGGTGGGTGTAATCCAGAGTGGCAGTTTCAGTCTGCGAATGTGCAACCAACCAAGCAGGCGGGTTAGTAGCAAGCAGCTGACAGGCAGTGCAGAGTGGCTGAGGTGCATCCAGGTGATGTAGGTGTGGGAGGGACATCTGCCTGTGCTCTCTGTGCTAGAATCCCAGCCCTAATGCAGAGCATCTTGTCCCCCCAAAACACAGGATTGCATCTCCCTTCCTCAGGATACTCTGGGAATAAGGCACATCTGGGCAGGTGCTGATCCAAGAGATGCTCCGTAGTCTCCCTGTGACCAAACATGTGGTAGAAAGCACCTGCAAAGCCAGCGCTGTGTCTCTGCGCTGCCCCGCGTGATGCAGTGCCCCGGCCCTAGGTAGAAGGGACAGCTCTCTTCCACTCGCTCTCAAGCTCCCGCTGTTCTGATGCAGCGGGATGGCTGTGGCGTTTTGCCTCTGCGCTAGTCCAGGTTGAGTTGCAGGACTTACGGAAGAGGCGGTGCCTTTCCCCACGCCTGACCCCTTCTGCCCTTTGCACCCTGGCTGTGCTGCAGCCTGCCCAGGCCAGCTGACCCCTGTTGCACGTGGTCCACTTGCTCTCTGCCGTTTGTGCTGCTGGTTGTGTCCACTCTGCTCGACTGCAAGCAAGTGGCAGAGACATCTTTGCCAGGCCTTGGGCCAGCCTGCTGCTGTCCTCAGCACGATGGAGCAGCAAAAATCACTGCCCGTCTAAAGCGACGTTGCTGAGGCCGTGCCCTCCTTTGGGGTCGCGCCAACAACGGGATCAGCACAAGTCCCAGTGAATTAACCACAGTGAGGCGGTGGTGCGTGATTAATTCAGCGCTGAACTTAGAGCCGAGTTGAGGTCGCGTTCCCACCAGGGTGTGCAGAGAGGGGGTGGGAGAGCGGTCAGGAGGGCAGCAGCCCCTCACTGGGCACTGCAAGGGAGCCATGGGAGGCAGGCCAGCAGGCATGGCTCCACTCGAGAGCAGGCCTGGTAGAAGTTGCACTGGGATGTGGAGAGGTCAGGATTGACCTCCTCTTCCCACCCCAAGCGGCCCCTTCCCACCAGCTCTGCTTCTGCTCGGGGATTAACTAAGGTACCTCTAAAGGTCAGGACTAATCGGGCACCTACTCCAGAGCCTCCGCAGTGTGCCTGGTCCCCTGGCAGTGCCAGTTCGGTTGATGCTATAGGCAAGAGCAGAAGTGGAGCGTCGCCTGGGCTGTTGGATGACAAACGTGTCTCTGGTGTCAAATCTGTGACACTGGTGCAGTTATGGGCACAGAGTGCAGTCTCAGGGAAGCCCTGCTTCGCTCGCCTGCTTCGCACTGCCCCGTGTGGGGCTGAGCTGATTTTCCTGCCAGCCCGGACGCACTTTGCCCTGCCCTTCTCTGAGCATTGCCTGGCATGTCCCCGCAGCCAGGGAGCTGGGGACATGCTGTGCTGTGTCAGGGGAGCAGGGGACCCAGACACTGCCTCCTCGGGGCCTGGCTCTGTCCCACTGCGCAGGTCCCTGCAGGGGGAGCAGCAGCCGCACGCGTCGTGGAGGCTGTGATTTATCAGAGCTGCCCGAAGGAGCCTGTCCCGGCTGAGACTGCAGAGAACC